TATTGCGCGTAAATTGCACCTTTTTTGCATATGGGGATCTGTAGCGTTATGATCAAAGACAAATATATAAAACCAGATCTGCAGCTACATGGTCACCTGAGCATATTATGCTCAATTTGATGAATACATGTATTATGTAAATTATTGAATTATATTGACTTTTTCCTTGGTAAAGCCCAATATGAAGAAGTGTGCATTTAGAGGCAAACACCATAGTGCGGGTATTACTGTCTCATGACAGCATCTAGTTTTTCTGTTCTTAAGGTGACGGATATAGTAATATGATAACATTCTACTTTGGAGTTTAAGGCAGATATTATATAAACAAGAAATATTTCAGAAACATATATGCTCCCCTCTCCAATGAAGTGGCAAAATTAAACATAGGTAATCAAAGATTATAAAGCTCCCCTCGACGAATGTTATCAGTGTAAGTAATGCAAATCTCAAATCATATTTTCTTAATATGTAGTATTTATCTCAACAAAATTCTTGCAAGTTGTGTTTAACCCCTTACATGGCATATACACATTTCTACATCTGTAGCGTGAAAAACGGGTGTAGTGTAAACAAATATTCATAACTTTGTCAATACTGCAGTTATCAAGGACTTCAAGTTCATTGAAATTGATCTGTTCCCAAAACTTTAACCTGGTCTCTTGTATGGAAAATATAGCTCAGATCCAGCATCCGAAGCAAGTCTGGTAGTGTCCATCCCTTGATGCATCATCCATGCAAGTTTGGTCCGGGTAGGTCTTGCAGTAGCTTGGGAATGAAAATGTAGGTCAGATCCAGCATCCGCAGCAAGTCTGGTAGTGTCCATCCTTAGATGCATCATCCATGCAAGTTTGGTCCAAGCAGGGCTTATAGTTCCTTAGGAATGGACCTGCTCCAAAAACTTTAACCTGGTCACTCATTTGGAAAATGTAGGTCAGATCCAGCATCTGAAGCAAGTCTGGTTGTGTCCATCCCTAAATGCACCATCCGAGCAAGTTTGGTCCAGATAGGGCTTATAGTTCCTTGGGAATGGACCTACTCCAAATACTTTAAGCTGGTCTTTCATCTGAAAAATGTAGGTCAGATCCAGCATCCAAAGCATGTCTGGTAGTGTCCATCCCTAGATGCATCATCCATGCAAGTTTGGTCTAGGTAGGGTTTATAGTGACTTGGGAATGGACCTGCTCCAAAAACTTTAACCTGGTCCTTCATCTGGAAAATGTAGGTCAGATCCAGCATCTGAAGCAAGTCTGGTAGTGTCCATCCCTAGATGCATCATCCATGCAAGTTTGGTCCGGGTAGGGCCTATACATCATTCTGAATGGACCTGCTCCAAAAACTTTAAGCTAGTCACTCATCTAGAAAATATAGGTCAGATCAAGCATCTGAGGCAGGTCTGGTAGTTTACATCTCTAGATGCATCATCCATGCAAGTTTGATTCAGATAGGGCTTATAGTTCCTTGGGAATGGACTTGCTCCTAAAACTTTAACCTGGGACGCCGACGCTAACGCCGATGTCAACACCGACACCAACACCGGAGGTATAGCATAAGCTCATCTCGACTTTGTCGAGGTGAGCTAAAAAGGGTTATCATTTGATTTAGAAAGATTGTAATGATAGTAAACAAAAAGCTTATCAAATATTCACAGGCAAACATAATTAAAAATGTGGTCAATATGAGAGTTCATTACTATCAAATTTCTATAATAGTAGAGGTATTAGTATTTTACTTCTTTATGGTATCAGGGAACCAAGTATGTCAAGTATGTCAAGCAAAAAGCTCTCAATAAGTTTCTTCTTAGGCACGTTTTGACCTTGATCTTTGCCTTACGACCTCAAAATCAAAAGAGGTCATCTTAGGGCAAGCAAGTGTACAAAGTTTGATATCTGTCAAATACACGGTTTTCAAGATATACAGTGCACAACCAACATCCTGAATAAGATATACCCACTCAGCGACAGGTGAAAAACAATATGTCACCTTTTTTCAAGGAAACAAAAACAAAACGTTAGGTCCACACCTGTTGTAGGACTGTTATGGGAGATAAAGAAAATGTTAGATCCACACCTGTTGTAGGACTGTTATGGGAGATAAAGAAAATGTTAGATCCATACCTATTGTAGGACTGTTATGGGAGATAAAGAAAATGTTAGATCCACACTTATTGTAGGACTGTTATGGGAGATAAAGAAAATGTTAGATCCACACCTGTTGTAGGACTGTTATAAGAGATAAAGAAAATGTTAGATCCACACTTGTTGTAGGACGGTTATGGGAGATAAAGAAAATGTTAGATCCACACCTGTTGTAGGACTGTTATGGGAGATAAAGAGAATGTTAGATCCACACCTATTGTAGGACTGTTATAGGAGATAAAGAGAATGTTAGATTCACACCTGTTGTAGGACAGTGACTGGAGATCCCCAGCCACTGAAGGAGTAGAGCATTTTGTCTTTGAGGATATTCCACAGCTGTAGTGTGCCTTGTTTACTGCCCAGGACAATCTTGTTGAGGTACGTGCTGGGATGAACCAAGGCTGTGATGTGAAAAGTGGAATTACTGAACCCCATCTCCAGGTACACCCCTGTAATAGACACCTCAGTGTTAACTACCTATGTATCAGTAATATAACAGCTGTACAGTGACATCACCTGTAACATTTATCTCAATGTTATAGACCCTACACAACATTAATATAACAGCTATATAGTGACAACTATTCTCTAACAATGTGACAAAACTGACAATTCTTAATAACCATTACAACCCCTGAAATGATGATACTAAGTAACTCCTATGGGTAAATACCTCCATTTTCTACATCCCAGATCTTCAGATTGCTGTGAATGTCAATAGAGATGAGATGGTTCCCAAATGGGAGAAGCAGGTGAACCTCAGAGGAGTGCCCCTCAAATGTGTGAACAAGCTGTAAAATCATAGTCATAAAAATCATATATAAAGACCAACACCACAAATAACTTGATCAACAATATTGCAAAAAATTCTATTAGAAGTCATAAAACAATCCTTAAGCCCAGTGTGCACATATCAGGTCCAGTACAATCAGTACATTTAGCTACGTAGGTAGAATTACCTACGTAGCTTTATTTACCTACCTCAGGTAGCTTTATTTAGCTATTTCAATGTAACTTTTCTTTTTAAGGAAAAGAGGCAAAAAATCGCAGTTAAATGACTATTGATATTTATACTAGGGAGACTTTCAAAAACATTCCAAGGCAGAGATAGTTTAAACATCGCTGTGTTTGGTCAATTTAGAGCAAAACATGTAATTCCATTGTTTGGTTATCTGTCCGTGCGGTGAGGCATGACTGAGTATGATTACTTCACATTGTGCTGAATAATTACCGACCTATTATCATGTTAACCAGAACTGGACTTCTTTGTCATTTCATTCAAGGAGTAACTGTTCTAACTGTCATACATAGCCCCAAAACTTTCAGAACTTTGATTGCAATTGCGCAGAAAAAGACATTTCTTCAAGAGGGAATTTTTCATGAATTGTTTTCAGATGAGTTCAAAGTTCAAAATGATCACTGCATCAAAATGATAGTTTTTACACATCCTGAGAAAAATTCTTTTTTATAGGAATAAATTCATTTGGTAGCTAAATCAAGCTACCTGAGGTAGGTAAATAAAGCTATGTAGGTAATTCTACCTACGTAGCTAAATGTACTGATTGTACTGGACCTGCATATTAAACTAAGTGTTTAAAATTATATACCTGTCTGCTTCTTTTGAATGCTCGGACAACATTAACACAACCAGTGAAAACGTATCTGTTGTTTACAGCAATACAGGTAATGTTGTCTGGATGTACATCACCTTGACAATGATATACAGATTTGTTTAATTTTTTTTAAAAATATGCAAAATGTCATAAAAAAGTAAAACAAAGTATGATATCAAAGTAATATTCAAAATGACCAAATTGAACATTAATTGAATTCAAAAGCAAACATAGGTAATCAAAGATTACGAAGCTCACCTCGACGAATGTTATCAGTTTAAGTAATGCAAATCTCACATCATATTTTCTTAATATTTAGTATTCATCCAAACAACAATATTCTTGCAAGTTGTGTTTAACCCCTTACATGGCATATACACATTTCTACGCATGTAGCGTGAAAAACATGTATAGTGTAAATAAATATTCATAACTGTTAATACTGCAGATATCAAGGACTTCAAATTCATTCGGATTGATCTGTTCCCAAAACTTTAACCTGGCCTCTTGTATGGAAAATATAGGTCAGATCCAGCATCTGAAGCAAGTCTGATAGTGTCCATCCTTAGCTGCATCATCAATGCAAGTTTGGTTTAGCTAGGGCTTATAGTTACTTAGGAATGAAAATGTAGGTCAGATCCAGCATCCGAAACAAGTCTGGTAGTGTCCATCCCTAGATACATCATCCATGCAAGTTTGGTTTAGCTAGGGCTTATAGTTACTTGGGAATGAAAATGTAGGTCAGATACAGCATCCGAAGTTAGTCTGGTAGTGTCCATTCCTAGATACACTTCCATGCAAGTTTGGTTCAGGTAGAGGCTTATAGTTACTTGGGAATGAAAATGTAGATCAGATCCAACATCCGAAGCAAGTCTGGTAGTTTCCATCGCTAGATGCATCATTCATGCAAGTTTGGTCCAAATAGGGCTTATAGTTACTTGGGAATGAAAATGTAGGTCAGATCCAGCATCCGAAGCTAGTCTGGTAGTGTACATCCCTAGATACATCATCCATGCAAGTTTGGTTCAGGTAGGGCTTATAGTTACTTGGGAATGAAAATGTAGGTCAGATCCAGCATCCGAAGCAAGTCTGGTAGTGTCCATCTCTAGATGCATCATCCATGCAAGTTTGGTCCAAATAGGGCTTATAATTCCTGTGGAATGGACCTGCTCCAAAAACTTTAACCTGGTCACTCATCTGGAAAATGTAGGTCAGATCCAGCATCCGAAGCAAGTCTGGTAGTGTACATCCCTAGATGCATCATCCATGCAAGTTTGGTCTGGGTAGGGCTTATAGTTCCTTGGGAATGGACCTGCTCCAAAAACTTTAACCTGCTCCAAAAACTTTAACCTGGTCACTCATCTAGAAAATGTAGGTCAGATCCAGCATCCGAAGCAAGTCCGGTAGTGTACATCCCTAGATGCATCATCCAGGCAAATTTGGTCTGGGTAGGGCTTATAGTTCCTTGGGAATGGACCTGCTCCAAAAACTTTAACCTGCTCCAAAAACTTTAACCTGGTCACTCATCTGGAAAATGTAGGTCAGATCCAGTATCCAAAGCAAGTCTGGTAGTGTACATCCCTAGATGCATCATCCATGCAAGTTTGTTTCAGGTAGGGCTTATAGTTACTTGGGAATGGACTTGCTCCTAAAACTTTAACCTGGGACGCCGACGCCGACACCGACGCCGACGCCAACGCCGGGGGTATAGCATAAGCTCATCTCGACTTCGTCGAGGTGAGCTAAAAAGTGATAAATCTAATTAAAACTGTGTGTTACATAAACATTGTACAAAACAACTATTTTAAGAATGAGACTTACTTATGTTGGTTATTCCTAATCGGGAACACTGAAGAGGAATAAACAGAAAAATAAGACACCAACTCTAACTCCCTTAAGCTAAAAAAGTTATTTAAAATTTATTTTAAATTTATGATAAAAAATGTTAAAATCTTTTAATCAGAATCAACTTTAAGTAATGAGATTAACATTCTCACAATGATTATAAGAAAAGACATCTTATGGTGCGAAATCTAAAATATGACAGATGACAAGTATGTAATCTAAAAGTGAACATAAAAATTATTTACATTATAAGTGTGGAAAGACTTCCCCACGCTTGTAATGACATAGTTCTCTTTCAATCTCTTATTATATCGAGTTGCAAGAGGCACATGATCGCTCACAAACCCAAGAGCTCGATATCCTGAAAAAATTTTGCTCCCAGTTGGCATCCTTTTGCAATGAATTTAAAGGTAAACATTCACACGTGTTTTCTTTCAAAAGTGGTAGTCGCCATTTTGTTGTCAAGTCAAACATTTAATATTCGTTTTGTTAAGAATACAATTAAAACTTGTCACATTCTTTAACAAATGACTTATCATTCCGCAAAAATAATGTTATATCATTTATAGCAAACTTACAAATGTTTCAAGCAGAATTTATATGTATGCCAGGGTAAACGAAAGGGGTAGAGTACGTCTGTCTAAAATCTTCCCCGCCATTGCACAACATCCGGTAATCTTTTCCCGTCAAAATGTCAAACAAATGACTTACTGAGCAAGACAAGATCGTTCTGTATTTCCACAGAACCTTCAAAAATGACTTGTTGTCTTAAATGTTGTGGGAAAGAAATACAAATATCTGATGATTCGAGAGTTGAAGTCAAAACTGTTTTACCATCTCGATTCAACGATGAAAACTTTCGTGTTCTTTGGAGTAAAAGCGGAGAGGCAAAATTCCACTCTCTTTGCTGGAATCGTCTCACGAATTTAAGGACATCGGTTAATAGAAAGAAAGGTACAAAGGAAAAGCCTGTCGAAACTCCGGACTCTATTTCAAAACAAGAGAAGGCTCTGATCAGGGAGGCCAGAAAAACGGCCGAATTCTTCGATTCTCGGGAGCAAATTAAAAAGGAAGCCAGTCGAGTAGCAGAATTGCTCAAGTCAGCAAAGCACTGCGTGGTTTTTACAGGTTTATATTTTATTTTTTCCAAAAATGCCTTTTTAACAGATTAAAAAATAATAACAATCCCAACTTTTAACGGTAGCGTAGTAGCAGATCAGAAACCCTTGGCTAACGAAGATGTAATTTTGCTAAACCTAAGAGATAAAATCAGCAGTGTAACAGGGGGTGGTGATGAAGAAAACAAACACGCCTCTGTCAGGGTTCAGGTCTTATTTATTGACACAGTGAGCACTTTATGTAATACAAATGTTATAGCCCTGAAATATAATAAAACAACAATATAATAGCACATCAAATCAATCATCAATCATCTATACATGTAGTTCTCATAGTTAACATATCCATAATGATATATATTATAGATGATATACATATATGTACATTTACTCTCAATTAAGGGAGATAACTCTTAAAGTCAATATCTGGATCATTACATATTTTCTCCCATATAAAGGCATAAAAAATAGTACTAATTAAAACAAATAATTCCTCACCATTCTGTGGGAAAAGGCTACCACATGAATGTGTGATGTTTACAGCTTTTTACACAACATGTATATGGACTCTGTAATTTAATACAGTATACATTAAAATATATATTCCTTTAAAATAAAATCATCTGTTCACTTTGAACAAAGTAACCAAATATCTGGATCTTAAAATATAAGGTGTAACTTGAATATAACAATTTACACTTATAATATAATACATTACTGATCTTTACAATCAATAATTCCAATCATAAAAATAACATCTTTCTCTCATGGTCATACATTCAATTAATATGAAGTGAAATTGGGATCTTTAATAAATGCAAATCTATGGAATAGACATATTACATGACAATTAGTAATAAGGAAAGTTAGTACTTACCAGAAAATGGAATTTGTCAGTCTCCAAAAGTCAAAGTCATGGAGTCCATAAAATACAGTCTTGGTCATTAACTCAACAAGACAAAGAATGAATATTTTGGCTGTAAAACCAATGACCATAAGAATAAAACCAATGAAAATCAACTTGACAACCAAACTACCAATAAGAACCAATAACACTCCAAAACCTTTGAACTGCCCTAAGGTAACTAATTATCTATATGCAGGTGTACAGGTAAAGGGCTAAGGATATAAAGGAGCGGATCAAGCTTTTTATACTTTTATCTATTATGGTAGTTTCATTTATTTACATTAAATTTAAAACACTTATTTATTATATACGCATATTATACACACTACTACAGCAGTTTTGATCATAAATTCTGGGCTATATTATAGGAGCTGGAATTTCCACTTCTGCTGGTATTGGAGATTACAGAGGGAAAAGTGGCAAGTGGACAGAAATGGATCATAATCAGGTGTCTGACAAAATAAACCATATGTTTGATTCTCAAGGACCCTCCCCAAGTAAAAGACATTGCCTGCAGAAAGAGTCTTGTGATGAAGGTATTTTCAAAAATTTAAAAACAAACCATTAATGATTGTAAAGTTTGAAACTTATAGGGATAGTACAATTTTAATTTGTGATGATTAATTCTATATGTCAAGTGCATATGTTCATTTATCTTTCTGTGATAGCTGTGTTGGATATATTATTATTCAAGAAGTTAAAGGTTACAACTTTGATAATTTAAGCCAATGAAAATCTCAAAGAAGAAGAGGAGGAGGTGGATGAAGATGGGGTGGATTATGAGAAGCTGCGACCAACCTTCACCCATGAGGCATTGTGTCTACTGACAGACATGAAGCTTATAAAGCACGTGGTTAGTCAGAATGGAGACGGACTCCACGGTCTGTCAGGGATCCCTAACGAAAACCTCTCAGAACTCCACGGAAATGTGTTTATAGAGAAGTGTGAGAAATGTGGCCACAGATATGAACGTTCTTTCTATGTGATGGATGATGAAGGCAGTCAGTACTATGAAGATTTAGAGGATTTTGGAAAGTCTTCTGTGAAGAAACCAAAGCATGCCAAACAATGTGAGAAGTGTGGGTTATCCCATAGAACAGGAAGAAAGTGTGAACAGAAGGTATGAATAGAAAAACTGCAGCATGTTTTAGTTTTAACATATACACTTTTAAAGATAATGAAAATGTACAATTTATGTTGAAATACCTTGTGAGCTAGAGGTAAGAAAACTGTAAAGTTCTGATGAATGAGAAATGTGTGTATATGAGTGTGTGCATGGGGAAATAAAAGGAAGAGGATTCCATAGTTTAATTGATCTTTTACAATTCCTTTGAAAATTTTATCTGTAATATAGTAGCTGTAATTCAAAAATGCTTGTCGTCTATGAAATTCTGCCTCTATTTTGAAGGGCTGCAAAGGCTACCTCATGGATACAATCATTAACTTCAGGGATAACTTGGAGGAGGATATACTGACCAGAGCATTTGACCATGCATACCAGTGTGACCTGATGATCTGTTTAGGCTCTACCCTCACTGTTACCCCAGCTAATGAACTGGTGGAGGTCATCGAAAAACCACACCCTATTGTCATATGTAACAGGTAAACACATATTTTATAGGCATTAGAATTACTTCAAAATTTTTAAGCTGATATTCTGCTTTCTGTTCTGCATTTTGATACTCATAGGATAAATCACTATTGACTTTGGATTCTTAGACAGAAGACTGACTATGACGATAGACTGCCTCAGGAAATGTCGAGGAGAAGAGCAGCCGAGTGGGAGCCGTGTTTATGGGGATTGTGACGAGTTTATGAGAGAGGTGCTGAAAAACATTGTAGGGGAGAGCAACCTTAAAGTGTGGGAGGAGGAACGGCCAATGAGATTAATTAATTATGATAAATGTAGATCAAAGGATAAGAGTTAACATCACTAAGTACCACAATAAAAGGGGTATAACTCTGTCATTAAAAAATGATTACATTGTAGATGATATTTTATATCAATTTACACACATATAAGCCTGCAAAATTCTGTGATATTTTTTAAAATGATTATCCAGTAAATTTATACATTTTTTCCCTGTATATTAAATCATTATTTTATATTTTGTTGAATTTTAAACAAATGTTGGACATATAATTGCGTACTGAAATTGTGGTTTATATTAATATGCTCTGTATTTTTTTTTAATACAAATAAAAAACAAAACAAAGGAGACTCAAAACCAGAAGACTGTTAATTTGTACATTATGTCAAAGATAAAACCATGGAAACATCTACTCTACGTGCTTATTTCACCCACTCATCTGAGTAACTTGGTCGGTAACCACTTCATCATGCTGTTTTTTTACCAGAGGTAAAGTTTTTGGAGCAGTTCATTCCCAAGTAACTATAAGCCCTATTTGGACCAAACATGCATGGATGATACGTACATCTAAGGATGCAGTACACTACCAGGCTTGCTTTGGCTGTTGGAATTGCTTATTTCTGGATGAGTGTCCAGAGGCCTTGAGTGTTCAGCAGAACGTGTGCTCATGAACATTCACTCTGTTGAACAGGCCTCAGGCTGAAATTTTGGAGCTTTAGATAAAATTTCATTTGTCAAGGAAAGCTTCATAATCTTTGATTTACCCACATGTTTTTTTCAAGTTAAGAAGGTAAAAATTCCTTTCAAACACCAACAATTTTATTAATTTATTTATATTTGATAAACAGTGGAATAAAAAGGCGATTTGGATCTGGCCCTAACCTCGAGACTAGTCTAGGTTGATAAGTCGAATATGTTCAAGGACGAATTATTTATCAGTAACAATTTTTAAATTTAAGAACAATTTGATGAATTCCTGCAACACCGGAAGTACACGTTTTTTCTTGACCCAGACCCGATGGATGATTATTCAGAGGAGCTTGAGCCGTCTTTGCGTAACGTTATTGAACAGCATTCCTTGAAATGGGTGTTTGTCGGTGGAAAAGGAGGTGTGGGAAAAACTACGACAAGGTAACACTTCATTGTTAATAGAATTTTAATAATCTGACATTGTCCACATTCATTTTGACCACTTATCCATAAATAAATTGTAAGAAATAATTCAGTTAGCTGCAATACATCTGAAAGCAAAATCACATGGTTTGATTTATTTAAGAAAATTAAATGGAATTCTCAAAATAAGTATCCCAGGGGCCCACTCGATTGGGACCCTTCTAGAAGCAGAGGGGAATGTTGGAAGGGTTGGAATATGTATGTCTAAATCGAGTGTTCAGAAGAAAATAGAATAGGATGGAATATTAGGCTATCTAAATTTAATTCCCTGGTTCTCAGGCCAATTTTCTCCAAAACAGATGCGGGAGGGCGGCATTTTATTTTTCATTTTATTGGCAATAAAGTAGATGAGGGAGGTATTTTTTTTTATTTTAATTTCCGAATTTTCTTTAACATAAAGATAATTTTTTTAATCACAGATATACTTTCCATTTCTGGTAAAAATTTCTGCTTTATCCATTGCTT